TCTCTCTCTCTCTCTCTCTCTCTCTCTCTCTCTCTCTCTCTCTCTCTCTCTCTCTCTCTCTCTCTCTCTCTCTCTCTCTCTTGCTTGTAAAAGAATTTCCCAGGCCAATGAGGACTAGGTGCGGCAGAAGATAACCAATTAGCCTATTTGATATTTCGAATTAGTGTAATGCCACGTATATTTGTTCTTGATACCTAACTTTTTCATAAGGCCTACCTCATTCTTAATACCTTATTTGTTCTCTACATCAAATTTGTTTGTAAAACCTAATCGCGATGCACAGCACATCGTTGCAAGTGATGCGCGTTTCATCTGCCAACGTCCGTCCAATCACATGTCTTTGCAGCCGCACAGGAGTCTTCTGACGCAGTCGCTGTCCAATGAGAGCAGCTCGTCGCTCGCCGAATTCTTCGATGCCGAGGACGCGATGTACTCTGCAGCCTCTGACACCGAGGTGAGCCGCCGTAACCGTGGCAACTGCGCGAGCACGCCGTAAACGTGAAAACCCCCGTGCGAGCACACCGTAACCTTGGCAACCCCACGCTCAGGTGACGCGAAACCCGTAAACTTTCAGCGGAGGGTGGCGTTCAACAATTTTGCGGTAAATGGTTGCGACTGCGATTTTCATGCATCTGCGTCGGTAGTTGTCCATATATATGTATATATATATGCATCTGCGATTGCCATATATATGTCGCGTGCGTTTACTCGGCTCCGGTTCCCTAGTCTCGGCCAGACGTTTACCGAACACGTGTGCATCGAGCATGTGTAATTGATGTGGCTGTGTACGAAGCACGGCGGCTACTATTATCGTAATGGAAGTGGAGCCGACCAGACCGCGCAGTCTAACCATCGTTACGATGCATCGTCTCATCGTGAAGCCCCGCGCATCTCTGTTCGCAGGCATCCGAGTCGGAGGCGGAGATATCGAGCGACTTCAGCGACGAGGGCACGGAGTATCGCGAAGTGCAGAGCGGTGAGTCTGACCCCCTCCCCCAGTGCAGGCCGGGGGGAAGGGTGGGTGGGGGCTGCTGTGTGACCACGGCTCGAACGACCTGCGTCGGCACGTCAACGATGCCTCTCATAAGCGTTTCAAAAATTAACGGTTCAATTTAACGGTTTTAAAATTGATGGTTGAATGGTCATACCGACCGTTTTAAAACAGATAAATCTCGCAACAAAAAGCCTATATAGACCTACTGTGAGCATACTTGCAGTGTGCAAACATCACAAAATGTTCTCATTGAGCCAGAGAAGTGGTAGAGCCTACAAACATTGGGATTTCCAAAATTACGTCGATGTTATTATGTCACACAGCTAGCAGTAGCCTTACGCTAGCGCAAATAGTTCCTGGAACGAAAACTATTTGTTTCCTGATTGCATGTAATATAGATAACGATATGATTTAAACAAATTTCAAAATTTTGTACTGAATAAACATATAATAATGAGAATTATAACTTGTTTTATCATAGAAAAGAACTGTTAACGATCGCTCCGCTGTGTCCCGGATGTGTAAACATCACTGTGGTGCTACTTTTGTAAGAGAAGTAATTTCGTTTAGATTTTGAGAAGAAATGTTATGAAAGTAGCAATACAAATGAGTTCTAGTGAATTTTTGCAACATAGACGTGCTCACAGTAGGATACATATATGCAGTTGGCTGCGAGGTTAAGCAACTTTAAATAGTGACAATTATTATTTTTATAAAATGCCAATTTTTGCTCTACTTTTGTGTGTATGCCTCAAAATGCTGTATTTATAAACGAGGGTATGCTAATTTATTTTATTATTAATAGCAGTGATTTATCAATCTAAATACTAATACTCATTTTATAATGCACATTTTTAGATCAATTTTATATAATAATATCAAGAGTGCATAATAGCAAGAGCTAATAATACATGTATATTGTAATATGTATATTGTAATATGTATTATTAGCTCTTGATAATAGAGATGCACTCTATAATAGAGTGCACCTCTATTATGCACTCTTGATAATATTAATTATACTGACATTCTAATTTTAATATTAATAATGTATAAAAAACTATTATAATATTAATTCTATATAAGAACAATAAGAAATTCTTTTCATTTATAATTTCACTATTCATAATTCCCAATTACCGTAAAAATTTATTCCCTGTCGTTCGCGGACATTACACCTCTCTTTCTCTCTGCCCCTCTAGTAAGCAAGTAAGTAAAAACTTTATTTAACGACGGTAAAACATGTTAGGTACAGACATAATGAAATGGCGCAGACCTATCTTCCACATGGCTGTCTCGAAGCAATAGAACAGTTAAATATTCCTCTCCCCCCGGCAGTGACCGACTACTCGGGCGACTACAGCCACAACGTGCAGTTCCGCACAGGCCGGCGCTCGCGGCTGCCCGCCAGCAAGCCCGACGCGAGCAACTTCAACATCTGGTCGCTGCTGCGCAAGAACATCGGCAAGGACCTGTCGAAGATCTCGATGCCGGTGACGCTCAACGAGCCGCTGAGCACGCTGCAGCGCATGTGCGAGGACCTCGAGTACTCCGAGCTGCTCGACAAGGCCGCGCAGACGCCCGACCCCTACGACCGCATGGTAGGTTGCCGCCAGGTGGCGCCGCACGGTAGGTCTCCGCCTGGTGGC